TGGGGGCTTTTTATGCCATATGCAGGTTGGTTATTCTATTCGTTTTGAGGATTGCACATCCGAAAAGACTGTTTTGAAATATATGACAGATGGAATGCTGTTGCGAGAATTCCTTGGTGAACCAGATCTGGCGAGTTACAGGTAAGCTAACTTGGTGTATATACAGTTCGATACTTGGATTATTTGCATTGGTTCACTTTCTGTCTGCAAATATTTCAGTGTGGTGATGGTGGACGAGGCCCATGAACGAACACTCTCGACTGATATTCTATTTGGACTAGTAAAGGTAAGCAGTAACTCTTCATGTTTCTCAGTCATTTCTTTAAGTCTAGCTTATTGAAGTGCATTATGCATTGATTGTAGGACCAATTTATTTTTCTTGGCTGTGATGATGTTGTCTCTAAGTTATACACAATTTTTGTGGAAATTTCATCTATGGTTTTCTCTTGGAGATTGTTTCTTAATGATCACCCTATCTACTTTTCTTCTGGAAGCACTTATAATAACTGATAAATACCTTTTGTTTCTTCAATATCTGATGGTTAGTGGTTTTTGTAATAGGACATTGCTCGATTTAGACCGGATCTCAAACTGCTTATCTCAAGTGCAACGCTTGATGCTGAGAAGTTCAGTGATTATTTTGATTCTGCTCCAATTTTCAAAATTCCAGGGAGGCGGTATCCTGTTGAAATACATTACACGAAAGCACCAGAGGCTGATTACTTAGATGCAGCAATTGTCACTGCACTTCAAATCCATGTGACGCAACCACCTGGAGATATATTGGTATTCCTCACTGGTCAGGAAGAGATTGAAACAGCGGAAGAAATATTGAAGCACAGAACAAGGGGCCTAGGGACAAAAATTGCTGAGCTGATTATTTGTCCCATATATGCAAACCTACCTACTGAGCTGCAAGCAAAAATTTTTGAAGCCACACCTGATGGGGCAAGGAAGGTTGTCCTTGCCACAAATATAGCTGAAACTTCGTTGACTATTGATGGGATCAAATATGTTATTGACCCAGGGTTTTGCAAGATGAAGTCGTATAACCCAAGGACTGGAATGGAGTCATTGCTAGTTACTCCCATCTCAAAGGCATCAGCAATGCAGAGGGCAGGTCGATCTGGTCGAACGGGTCCTGGAAAGTGCTTCCGGTTATATACTGCCTACAATTATTACAATGATTTAGATGATAACACAGTACCAGAAGTACAAAGAACTAATCTTGCAAATGTTGTGCTTACGCTGAAGAGCCTTGGTATTCATGACTTATTACACTTTGATTTTATGGACCCTCCGCCATCTGAAGCATTACTAAAAGCCCTGGAACTGTTATTTGCACTAAGTGCATTAAATAAAGTGGGTGAGTTGACTAAAGTAGGTAGAAGGATGGCGGAGTTTCCACTTGATCCCATGCTATCTAAGATGATAGTTGCTTCTGATAAGTACAAGTGTTCAGATGAAGTCATTTCCATTGCTGCCATGCTTTCCATTGGTAATTCCATCTTTTACCGTCCCAAGGACAAACAAGTCCATGCTGACAATGCACGTTTGAATTTTCACACCGGGAACGTGGGAGACCACATTGCATTGCTCAAGGTGTAGTTTCTTTCTTTTTCCATAGAGTTTATTTCTATTTTCCCTTTAGTGAACATATCTGCTGTTTAGGGCCCATGACTTTGGGACCTGGAGGATGGGAAAATGGTAAATTTTATATGTTAAGTATTTATAATGACTTGAATAAGGTTGGTATAGATCCTCATTATTAACTGGGGTCAAGTAAGTTGTCAAATGTTTTTGAATGGTTATTTGACCTCCTTTTTTTTTTTTTTTTTTTTTTTCTTTTTCCTCTTAGGTCTATAACTCATGGAAAGAGACCAACTTCTCAACCCAGTGGTGTTATGAAAATTATATACAGGTACGGTTTAATATTTCACTGTTGCTCATGCTGATGCCACCGTGTATGGTGACAACAGAATGATACCAATGCCAATTAAAATCTTGATCTAATTTTTTTTTTTAAAAAAAACATTGATACTAGTTTAGGTTAATTATTTCCTTTTTTTTTAGATACTGATTAACATATAAAGTTGACCATGTCAAATTAAAATATATTGATTCTTTATCAATATTCCTCACATGGTTGTTTGTAATCCCAAAAATTTACAGGTGAGGAGCATGAAGCGTGCTAGAGATATTAGGGACCAGCTTGAGGGACTCTTGGAGAGGGTTGAGATTGAGCTGGTCTCAAATCTCAGTGATTACGAGACCATAAAGAAGGCCATTACATCTGGTAATTTTACCACTATTGTTAGCCATAATGATCTAAAAGTGATTCCTTCTGTTTTTTTTCTCCTCTGTTCCTTGTCAAATTAAACTGTGTTGTTATTTCTATCAGGCTTCTTCCCTCATTCCGCAAAGCTTCAAAAGAATGGATCTTATAGAACAGTCAAACATCCACAGACTGTCCATATACATCCCAGCTCAGGGCTGTCACAGGTAAAGATGAATTGCATTGTCCTGGTGGCTACTTTGCATATGAGTTAGTCTTTTGGATCACAATATAAATTGATCCACAAATGCTATGTATTGAATATAGTATGTGTTAGTGACACATATTTTTGCAAAGGGAGTGAACGTGGAATATGGGTTTGGGTCATTACTTTCATTGCATTAAGAGCTGAGGAGATTTATTATGCCTTATACAAAAAAGAGGAGATTTATTATGCATTATTCAAAAAATGAGGACAAACTTTACTGCTTTTCCAACACATCATTTCGCTTGTGAACACATGTACACAATACCAATTACCAAAAACTCACAGGCTTTTGTATATTTGGATATGCATTAGAGGAAATAATTTATTTGTATGTCAATGTCGGTTTTTGCCTTTCATAGTAATTGGACAAATAATATCTGATGCATTGTTTGATTTTCTGTTGAATTTTTATCTTCAGGTGCTTCCGAGATGGGTTATATACCATGAATTGGTACTTACAACAAAGGAATATATGAGACAGGTATATGTACCCTTGTACCTTTCATTTTCCCTGTTGGTTGGTTATCTCGTATATGCTATTTGCATTATATCTAAAGCCTTCCAATTAAATTGCAGGTAACAGAATTAAAGCCGGAGTGGTTAGTGGAAATAGCTCCGCATTATTACCAGCTGAAGGATGTTGAAGATTGTAAGATCTCTCTCTCTCTCTCTCTCTCTCTCTCTCTCTTCATTTCTCTATATATGTGTATTGTTATTTCACTACCTTAATCATATAACTGCTTGATATCTGTTATATGACTGCTTGATATCTCTATTTAAACGAGTTTCTTATATGACTGCTTGATATCTGTTATATGACTGCTTCATATAATTGCCTGTATGTTAGTCAATCATATAACTGCTTGTTATCTCTATTTAAACGAGTTTCTTGTATCATTTGATTCTACGAATTGCTGAAATATTTTTATCAATAACAGCGATGTCAAAGAAAATGCCCCGTGGAGAAGGGCGCGCACAACAGGATTGAGAACTTGAAGATAATTGTAGATATCGCTGTGACTGGTGGTTTGTTGGTTGGGGATGGTAGAGCAAAAGGAGCCTGTAAATACAATACTGTGTATTAAAACAAAACTGCATTTTCAACTAGTTGATACAGTAACAACTTAGGGATTATAGACTGAATCTTGTTGCAGTCATTACAAGAGAACCTGAGGGTATTCTTTTCTTACTGTTAGGTTACAGGTTTAGTCGACACACTAACGACTTGAAGTTAGGCAACTAAGGTGTATTCTGTATCTGACAAATCTGTACAAGAATAGACGTTCTTATATTTAAATTGTATATTATTTGAGTTTTCAATCGAGATGGTGTCTTCTTTCTTTTGAACTTTGTCAGTTACTTTAGGAGCTCTTTTTTGGAGGAGGAGGTGACCTCTGGTTTTTGAATCTGCCTAAATGTAATTGACCTAGCTTTGACTTTTATTTAACAAAAAAAGGAGAAAATTGAACCTAAATATGGATGCTGGAGGCTACAGGTCCTCTCTGTGTTCAGGTTCCAGAGGTGCTTATGTACCAACTTGTAGCCAGTTTGCCTAATTCTAACAAATAATGGTTGTTTGCTAGAAACTTATTACCAACCTGTTTGCTCCATTCAAATCAAAGTTAGAGAAGACATAATCAACTCTTGAAAATGTCTTTGCAAGCCAGTCGTCAGTAATAATATTATTGAGATGGAAATATTTTTATCATAGTAATAATATTATTGTGATGGAAATATTCACAACCGTAGATGGTAAGATACTGCATGCATGATATAAGGCATAGTTTAGCATGCTAATTAAGCCAGAAGATAAAAAAATGATATATTAACTTATGCAAAACATAAAACTCCAAAGACTTAAAACGAAATTATACTAAAATACTTATGTTGAATCAACTATGCCTGGTATTAAATAAATCAAAGGTATATCTAGCTTTGAAGGAGTTTTGTTGTTGAAGTGACATCTTTGAATTTATTAGGCATTAGAGCATCTCCAACTGATGTGTCAAACGTGCCACATAGACATTTAACAGCTAAAGATAACACCTCACATCACTCCAACTGATATGTCAAAGCTGATGTGAAATGAAGGCTGGAGGTTGAGATGTTATTTTTGACATCCCAAAAGCAAGATGTCAAATGAATATTTTATTATTTTTTCTTTTCTTTTCTTATTAATTAAAATGAATCAACACTAAAATGTAATAAAATAATAATTTAATTTGACATATCGGGTGGAGTGTAAAGCTGTGTAAGATGTCAAATTGTCACATCAACTATCATATTTAAATTTGATGTTTGGTATTTGACATCTCCCTTGGAGATGCTCTTACATCTGCCTGGTCTTAGAAGTTAAATGCTACTCTCTAGATTGCCGGAAAAGGAAATGGTGACTTTGCTTAATTCATTACTCAGATCAGATCAATGAACTTTTCTTTTTATTTTATAATTCCCAAAATATAAAAATATAAGAAAAAGTAAGAATTTCCCTCTGAGAAGTGTCTGTGAGATGACAGCAACTAGTAATACATGTGAAAAGTAGAGTAAAAACATGAGGTGAAAATTAAAATTTCAAAGAATTACTTCTGCAGCTGAGACAGAAAAAAAATTCCATCTTATGCCATAGCAGGCATGTTCTTGAGCCAAGCATCCAACGGCTTCCCAATTGAGTAAACAATGAATCCAATCTCTCTCAGCTTCTCAACATCAACAACATTCCTTCCATCAAATAAAAATGCAGGTTTCTGCATATTGTCAAAAATCTTCTTGTAATCAAGCATCTTGAATTCATCCCACTCAGTAAGAATGCAGATCCCATGAGCATCCTCGGTTGCCTCATAAGCATCCCAAACAACACTGACTTCCTTGACCGCAGCCGGGCTCATTGGCTGGAGATGAATTGGATGGTCCGAATCAAACTTCTTCATTGAGAGATCACTCGTGATCTGGTCCTCTGTGACCTGCACATCATATATGCTCAACTGTGCCTTATCCCCCAACAGCCCCTTGCGAATATCAATGGCAGCAGTTTCCCTCGTGCCGCCGGTATCTTTTTCTTGAAGGCAAACCCAAGAATGGCAATCTTTTTACCAGAAACTGTATTGAACATTGAAGAAACTACCCTGTTCACAAATCGGTTCTTTTGGTAGTCATCCACCTAAATGACTTGTTTCCAGTAGTTTGCAACTTCAGTTAGGCCATTGCACTCACAGATATAGACCAAGTTGAGTATGTCCTTTTGAAAACAAGACCCTCAAATCAACAAGAATTTGCTTCATGACTGGTTCTAGTGCTGGAAAAGAAAAGGACTGATTGAAAGAAGACTTTTCAAAAATAAGGAAATTGATGAGAAATAAATGTATGCATATGTTGGATTAGCGTCTTTAGTTTCTATGGAGTTTTATGCATAAATTATCTGGTTTTGGAGAGCATATTTATCTGGAATTGCTTTTTTTTTTTTTTTTTTTGGGGGGGAGGGTGTGTTATTGGATGCGGGGAAGAAAATCAGTCAGTCTCTGGACTCTTCCACTCCCAGGGTTATGGAGGCAATGGCATTTGGAACAATAATTGGCAGTATGCGATTGAAGGATAAACAAGTGGCTGCTAGACTTGCTCTCAAGTATGTAATGTCATGGGTTTATAAGTTACCCTGATGAATGCTATTTGATTATGAAATATACTAGGATATTTTCCTATGGCATCCATCATCTTTCATCGGATTTGTTACATTTGTGGAGCAGAGCTTGGTTGTAGTAAAAAAAATGTTCCTATTTGATATTTCAGATTTATATACATGGACTTTTATTAATTTTTAAATGATGCAGGAAGTGTATCAATCTACTGCGAGTCTTTAATGAAAATGTCTTGTCCCTGTTAGTTGGAAAGAGTTAATTTCCCCTCTCATTCTCTCTGGGTTTCTAATTTATTTTGTTCGGCTTGGTTTCTGGCATTACATGTTGCAAATCCGCTAAACCTTCTCCCATTGGTATATAGGAACAATTAGATGCTTCTTTTCATAGAATTTCTAGAGTGTTACAAGTTTTATTCCAGGTGAATGCATATATATATAGGAATTGGATATGCTTTAATTAGTAATTATGTTTTAATTATTATTTATTTAGTGAATAATTAGTATATAAATATTTTCTAATATCATAAATTACTTAATAAATAGTAATTAAATTTTTTAAATTATTTTGCAGACTTTGGTTTTTATTTTTTATTTATACAAAATTAGTTTGTTAAGTTTAATATTTGCAATTAAGTAATATCTTAACCTTATCTATTTAAGCTATTTGATTTTGTACTCTTCTGCCCCTCCATTTTCTAAGATAGGCAAGTTCAGCTCTATAGATGTTGTAAAGAAAGTGGTGAAGCCCACATAAAGGAAAATAAGGAAATAGTAGTCAAAAGCTTAATGATGATGTTGGAAGCTTAGTAAAAAACTTATGATGTTGTGTAATGAAGCCATCCAATTTTCCCATAAATAGGCTTACTACTACGACGACATGCAAACTTTTTTTTTTTTTTTTGTTGGTATTCTCTCAATTTTTATGTTGCTTCATCCATGTTTGTTTAATTTATTTTTTCGTACTGTAATTTGGAATTGGGTAGTTTTATACCCCATCCTGTTATTTTATGGTGGTGTCACATCCTGGGATCGGCTCCGCCGTAGCACGATATTGTCCGCTTTGGGCCCCCTATCTGCCCTCACGGTTTTGTTTCTGGGAACTAATGAGCAACTTCCCAGTGGGTCACCCATCTTGTGATTGCTCTAACCCCCAACTCGATTAACTTCAAAATTCCCATGACTCCGAAGCCAGTGAGCTCCCAAAAGGCCTCGTGCTAGATGGAGGCGGGCATGCACATATAAGACACATCACTCCCTCTCCGTTGGTCGATGTGAGATGTTACAATCCACCCTCCTTAGGGGCCTGACGTCCTCGTTGGCACACTCGCACCACACAACAGAGTGGCTCTGATACCAAATTGTCACATCCCGGGATCGGCTCCCCTGTAGCACAATATTGTCCTTTTTGGGCCCCCCTTCTGCCCTCACGGTTTTGTTTCTGGGAACTCACGAGCAACTTCCCAGTGGGTCACCCATCCTGGGATTGCTTTAACCCCCCCAACTCGCTTAACTTCGGAGTTCCCATGACTCCAAAACCAGTGAGCTCCCAAAAGGCCTCGTGCTAGATGGAAGCGGGCATGCACATATAAGGCACATCACCCCCTCTCCGTTGGTCGATGTGGGATGTTACAGGTGGTGTAATTTCATTACTCATCACATTGTAACACATATATAATATGTTCATATCTATTAGGTGGTGGTTTTATCCCCGCATTTACTTTATTTACTATATGGTGTAGGTTTATTATCCATACGGTAGTATTTATTTAAAAGTGTGGTATGGTTTTATCGTCCACACAACTGCCTTTAGCATTTACTTTATTTACTGTATGGTGTAGGCTTGTTACCCATACGACAGTATTTATTTAAAAGTGTGGCGCAAGTTTATCGTCTACACAACTGTTTTTACTTTTTATTTAAAAGTATGGAGTAGAATTAGTGCCTACACCAGCACTTTTACTTTATCGCACATTTACTTTATTATTTAAAGTATGGTGCGGGATTAACGTCCATACATGAAGAAATTTAATTTATGAATTTATTTTACCCCATATTTACATTTATTTAAAGTATGGTGCGGGATTATCTTCCATACCAATAAGCAATTTACCTTATGAATTTACTTTATCGCACATTTACTTTTATTTAAAGTATGGTGCAGAATTAACATCCACACAACAAGCAATTTATTTTATGAATTAATTGTACAGTATGATGAGTTTTACAGTATACAGATATCAGGACTAGAAGTTCCTTGATCCTCATCATACAACTACATCAGGACCTGAAGATCCTTGATGATGACAATGATATGAGAGCTGGCAGTCTCTCCTGTACTATATTTGTAGACAAGTGATCGGACCTTAAGATCCTTGATCCTTGACATGTAAATAAGGACCTGGAGTTCCTTGATAATGTAACAGTACCGTATTGGTTAATAGTGCCATACACATGAATAGTAACTATACTGGCAAATGTACTCATGGATGAGCAATTAAATGAGAAGTCAGAAGCTCCTCAAAACATGGACAATTATGTAAGGGCCTGAAGTCCCGAAATATGTACAGGAAATTAAGAAAATGTCCATATCGTGAGAATATGTATTTTAGCATGAAGTTCAAAATCTAAGAGTATTGAATGTCCATACCATTAAAATATATGATTTTGGCATGAAGTTCAAAATCTAACAATATTGAGAACCTGAAGTTCCAACAGTTAAATGGACAACCCTTGAGGTATTATTAATTGTGGTACACCACATATTTCTTTGACATAAGAAAATGATGAATTTAATAAAGTTCAATTATGTTATAATCGACACCTCAAGGAAGCAATATATTTTGTGAATTCCAGTTGTTAAGAATACACCGTGAAATGGATAATATCAGGATAAACCTCAAAAGGATGAATTGAGGCTCCCCACATATTTTGTTATATTATGTGATCTGGGCCGGAAGCCCATGGATCCAAATATATGAGAGATCCCGAACCTGAAGTTATAGGTATATAGTAGTTAATGCTCTTCACTACTATATTGCAATATTATCATGACTTTTACTCAATTTATATTTCATGCCCATTTGAAAATGGCAAATAAATTCTGAGGTTGTGTTTAGCCCGAGCAAGAAGTTCCGGACTCACATCCATTGAAATATGTAATTTGAGAGATTTGATGTGGTTTTTTGAACCTATAAGGCACAAGGTTCCAAACCGTCATTTTGAAAAGACGTAAAAACCACATATGCAAATTTAAGAATTTACCCAATCATTATAACAGGAAAGGAGCATATAGCGGGTAGATTCTTTTCACTTGCAAGGAAGGAGCAGGCTCTGTAAAATTTATAAAATTCCATTATGTTCTGGAAGCCTTCGAAGGAAGAGGACGACGCCTCTTAAGCTTAGTCATGAGCCTCTCGTGGTCTCCAAGAATCTTTTCATTGGAAATCTATAGCATGTCAAGTCTTGTCTGCATATCAATGGACTATGAACTCACCAGTTTCAACAAGGCCTTATTTTCCTCTTTAAGTTTTTCAACATCTTCTCGAGACTCATGAATTATTCTACGAAGAGACGAATTTCAGTGTTCAGCTCCTGAATCTCATTTGCTCTGGCATGCAAACAATAAGCCATGTTAGAAATAGAAGCAGCACTCTGAATGCTAGGAGCCATTGAGTCATCAATAGCCTCTTCGTCAGACCTTCCTATTAACAGTATTTCATTCATAGGAGTAAGGAAATTCCTAGCTACTATGACAACAGTCGTATCATTCATCATCACAGAATCATTAACCGTGAGATGACGATTTTCGGATACAAAGGATGGACGCCAAACTTTGGCGACATGGGTTGTTTTGGGAGCAACATTTAAATTGAGATGATTTGGGGGAGAAGAAGAGGAAGCCATTATAAAAAGGTTTCGAGGAAAGTCTTAGAAAAGCTGAATTTTCAGAAAATGGAAGGGAGTTGAGTTGAAACATAGTTACTCCAATCAGGCCTTGTAGAGGCAATACCTATAGACGGAAATGTGGCAATAGCTATTTGATTTGGTACTCTTCTGCCCCTTCATTTTCTAAGATAGGCAGGTTCAGTTCTATAGGTGTTGTAAAGAAAGTGGTGAAGCCCACATAAAGGAAAAGAAGGAAATAGTAGTCAAATGCTTAATGATGATGTTGTGTAATAAAGCCATCCAATTTGCCTATAAATAGGCTTGCTCATTCAATTGTAGAACACACCAAAAGGAGAAGAGAGGAAAGAAAGGAAGAGAAGAAAGGAAGAGCGAGAGGAAACAAAAGAGAGTGAGTTCTATCTGTGGAGGAAATTCTGTCAGTGTAAACATCGCAAGAACAAATACAATTTTACTCCAAATATTCAGTGGTACTTTTCATACTATGTTATTTTATTTCTATAACAACAGGGAATTTTTGCTGCTGCCTCTCTGTTTTCAAAGCTAAGGTTCCATGCCACATTATTTACTTTACTACGTACTTCACAGGAAAACTGAGGCCCAGCCAAAAGG